TCGCTGCTCGGGCCTAATAATAAGAAACGGAGCAGATACAATAGGCCTTCGCAGCTTCACTGCTCGGGCCTAAAAAAGAATAAACAGAGCAAATACAAGAGGCCTTCGCAGCGCTTTCGCTGCTCGGGCCTAATTAAAGCAAACACGGGCAATAAGTTTTGCTCTTTGAACAAAATCAGCTGAGACGGCAAACTTCAGCGCTGTAGCACTCCATGCGCATCTCTCTGTTAGAGCTGAAGTTCAGATCATCAGAAACTGCACAGGGACTAATGTGGACAGACACCTTTAGAAGCAGCTTGTTAAAAAAACATAACGATCGCGGCTTCAATCGCAATAAAAAGCAAGTTATGTCCAAGCTAAAGGACATCCGCAACGTCACAGAAACTGTCCCTCTACCCCCTTTATGCCGCCATTGTCTAATCTTCTATAAAAAGAACACGATGTGCTGCTATGGCATTGCGGCAAATTGACAGAATTGTTTTGTAAAAACGACTCTTGTCTGTGTGGTGGTTCTTGAAGCACTGACTCCAGCTGCAGTCCACCATTTGTGAATCTCCTTCACATTTCTGTATTCAATTCAATTCAATTCAATTCAAAAATACTTTATTAATCCCAGAGGGAAATTCAGTTGTTTCAGTACACACAATTCTGAGATCAGACATACATACATACATGCATACATACATACATAGATACATGCATACATACATAGATACATGCATACATACATAGATACATGACAAGATTTGGTGACTGTGATCATTTGCAACCCGAGTCGCGCTACCGTTATAGATCAAGAGGGTTTATATGAGGATAGAGTCAGGGGGAGGGAGATAAAGGCACTTCAGAGTTACCCTCCACAGAGAGGAGTTACCCTCCACAGAGAGGAGTTACCCTCCACAGAGAGGAGTTACCCTCCACAGAGAGGAGTTACCCTCCACAGAGAGGATAGCTTTGCTTTGCAAAAAAACACCTCAGACAGATATGCACACAGACTTCAGACATTACACAACATAAGTGTCCACTAGGGGGGAGGTAGGGTTTGGACTCTCCTCACTTCAGCGCGTGCAGCCACATGGGGCAGCGCTCATCACCTCCGTTTGGATAGGGGAGGGAGATAATGGGTTAGAGAGCACATTGACTCCTAGATAGGGTTCCACGGCCTTCACCGGTCACAGTCCCGCCCAGGCTGGGATAGGGAGACAGAGTTTCCATAGCGACAACAGCATTCCACATTTCTTCGGGGGGGGGGGGGGGGGGGGGGGGAGTTTTCACTTCAGCCTCACAGGCTTCAAGGGCACCAGATTCAGATAAGAGTTGTTTTGGGGACAGACAGAGATAATTTCCTCTCCTCCTTAGAGTTCTGTCAATCTTCAACCCCTCCAGATCCAATAATAGCGTTATCAAACTATTCCAATCCGTGCTGATCCGTCAACTCTCTCCTTGATCGAATCAAACTTCTGTGCCAGAGCCTGAATCTCAGCCAAAGTTCCAAGCTTACGACTCATCTCGACAATTATATGAGTTTGTGAGTTCACAGCATGATGCATTCCATCCCTGAGCTCCAGGATTAAGCCAATATTCCTCGAAAGCTCATAAATTTTCCGGTATGCCAGGTAACCGCTCAGGCCAAACAGCAGGAATCCCAACACCAAAACGACGAATATCCAAACATCATCAGAATCCTCTACACACAGTTGAGAGAGGCATTTCAGGTTCCACTGTTTCCAGGAGTCCATGAGATACCCAGTGGGGCATCCAGGAGCCCCTTCTCCCGTTCTCATCGTTGAAAAGATTTTGTCAATCACGTTGAGAGACCAACTGACCAGATCCATGTTTAATAATTTCCAGTTTCCAGAAAAAATATATACATTGACATTAGAGCCCTGCACGGGCCTAAAATCTGAGCCCGTGTCCGGCCCGGCCCGAGGGGGTGGAGCCCCAGCCGACCCGGTCCAAAAAGGTTTTCAGGATTCTCTGGCCCGACCTTTTTTAACCTTTCATAAAGTTTTAGCGTGATAGGATGCTCAGCGTTCTAATTATCTGTGGGAAGCGTTCTGCAGTAAAAAAAAAAAAAAGAAAAGAAAGAAAAACAGCATCAATGCAGCTTTTTTCTAACAGAGCATGTTTTTGGAGCGGCAGATGAAATTTACAAACACTATATTAATTGGATGTGTTTGTAAAATGAATCTGCCGCTCTGAGAAAGTGCTCTCCGTTAGAAACAAACCAGCGATGGATGCTGTAATTTTTTAACTGCAGAGCGAATTTATTCACAGAAAAATAGAAACGCTGCCGTTTTCATGAGGATAAACGAACGTTTCTGACATCAGAGTGGACATAACACGGCGTATTAGAACAGGGGCACATGTTTCTTTCAGCAGTTAGAGAATTCCTTTATGTCGGCGCGTTTATAAACCACACACACCTTAACTGAGCTAACGGTGTGTGAGAAGCAGGCAGGTGCTGCTGCGTTCAAGTGTTTCAGTTTTTTTTAATAAATTCGATTAAAAATAAATGCGCCCGGCCCGGCCCGTGTCTGAGGTAATTACACAGTCGTTGACCCGAAGCCCGGCCCTCGGGCTGTCGGGCCGGGCCGTCCCGAGGGCCTAGGGCTCCAGTGCAGGGCTCTAATTGACATAGCACAAATAATCAATAATAAAACATTGCTACTAAAAACACAATAAGAGAACTGGTAAAAGGTAACAGCACTATCCAAAGTAAAAAATAATGCAGTGGCCTCCCCTGACCTCCCCATAATTCGAACCCTGGAGATAAAACATCAATGTTATGATAAATGATAAATGACCCGCACTTGTATAGCGCCTCTCAGAGTAAGGACTCCAAAGCAATTTACACTACAGTGTATCATTCACCCATTCACACACACATTCACACACTGATGGTGATGAGCTACGATGTAGCCACAGCTGCCCTGGGGCGCACTGACAGAGGCGAGGCTGCCGAGCACAGGCGCCACCGGTCTCTCCGACCACCACCATGTTGTAGAACAGAGGCAGTGGTAGAGTCATGTAGCTGTTAGTCAGTCAGAGGAGAGATGTCCAAGTATCAGAAAATTAGACTACAAATCCCATCATGTGAAGCCCTCCTCTGGTTTGGCAATGTTGTAGATTCTGATACAGGCCCAGCATGGTTTTTGTGCCCAGACTATGACTTACAAGGCATTCATTCCTTACTAGAGACTACTGCAAATGTATTGATTAAATGAGTGAACCACACCTTTAATGCAACACTGGATGGAAATAAATCTTGTGACATTGCAGAAGCTTATTGAACATTGCCACAAGGAATGTATGCATAGCATAGCATAGCATAGCATAGCATAGTTTATTTATATAGCACGTTTAAAATGCAGCATGGGAGCTGCCCAAAGTGCTGCACAGGCGAAAACAAAACACACCATTACAAGGAGCTAAAACAAAGGATAAAAATCTCAATTAAAAGCAGAGAAAACATGATGAATAATAAGAGCACATTAAAACAATGACACAATAAAACACTAAAACGAGTCACTGTCTAAAAGCCAAAGTGTAAAAGTGGGTCTTGAAACGAGATTTAAAAACCGCCAGAGATGGAGCCTGCCGAACTCCAGTGGGCAATGAGTTCCATAGCTTTGGGGCAGCATGGACAAATGCTCGATCACCCCGCGATTTGAGCCTCATCCGTGGCGTGTGCAGCAGCAAAAGGTCAGCCGACCTCAACGAGCGGGTGGGCACATATGGAGTGAGAAGGGCAGAGAGGTAGGAAGGTGCCAGGTCATTGAGTGCTTTAAAAACAAATGTCAGTAACTTAAACTGCACTCTGAAAATGACAGGGAGCCAGTGAAGATGTGCTAGGACAGGGGTAATGTGGCTACGTCGGTGTGTACCCGTCAAGAACCTGGCAGCAGCGTTCTGAACAACCTGCAGCCGATTCAGGGCAGAGTCCGGAACACCAATGAGGAGGGCGTTTGTGTAGTCCAGGCGAGAGGTAATGAAGGCATGGATGACTGACTCCAAATGCCTCTGTTTCAGGATTCGTCTGAGGTGAGTAAGGCGGTGAAGCTGATAAAAGCAAGACCTCACTACGGAGTTTATCTGTGGAGCCATTGTGAGTCCAGCATCCAGCTTGACCCCGAGACTCGTCACACACTGTTTGGGGTTAAGGGTTAAAAGGTCACAAACAGGGTGAGAGCCATGGTGGTTGCGGGGGTCAAAAACAATAAACTCAGACTTCTTTTCATTCAGTTTTAAGAAGTTGGATGCCAGCCAGCCCTTCACATCATCCATACATGCAGCCAATTTCGAACCCGCATTTTTCTCGTCCATTTCCACGTATAGCTGACAGTCATCTGCATAGACGTGGTAGCTCAGGCCATGCTGATTCAGGATATTGCCCAGAGGCAGAAGGTAGATTGAAAACAGCAATGGCCCAAGAACGGAACCTTGCGGCACCCCCCAAGGCAGTGGAAGACTGGAGGATGCACAGTCACCAATCTGTACAGAGATGGTAAGGATTGATAGGTAGGAGTGGAACCATTTAAGCACCACCCCCGTCACCCCAACCCAAGACCCAAGCCGATTCAGTAAAATTTGGTGATCGACCGTATCAAAAGCCGCTGAAAGGTCCAGCTGGAGCAGCAGTACCATATACCCAGAGTCAGATGCCACCAGAATGTCATTTTGCACCCTAATCAAAGCAGACTCAGTGCTATGGTTTGGTCTAAAGGCTGACTGAAATACATCCAACAACGAGTTGCTATTCATATGGGCAGAGATCTGGCCATGCACAATTTTCTCAAGGACCTCCGCCATAATGGGATTATGCTGTGATAAAAGCTCAAGGCCGTCCAAAAAATATTAGGGTGTGTGATTTATTTTTGTGGTGGTGACTTTAGTTTTCTGCCTTGTCCTTTAACACACACCTGCTTTACATACACCTGAATGAAAAACACCCTTACTACATACTCATCTATCAACAAGACTGATTCTGTGTGTCTCAGACCCAGTCCTTTCCCAGTAAGAGGCCAGGTTTCAAAGTTGGTATGAAGCTGGAAGGTATCGACCCTTTACATCCATCCATGCTATGTGTACTATCAGTTGTTGAGGTAAACACACACACACACACACACACACACACACACACACACACACACACACACACACACACACACACACACACCATAATTAAGTTTGTCCAAGTGAACTTTTTGCTCTTGCTCAGGTGATTGGTTGTCGGCTGCGCCTCCACATTGATGGTTACTCTGAGTGTTATGACTTCTGGGTAAATGCTGATTCAGCAGATATAAAGCATGCTGGCTGGTGTAAAGAGCACAATCACAAGCTCTACCCACCTAAAGGTGAGCATAGGGAACTAACACTCATGCTGTTTACCCACCTGAGACAAATGACAACATCTGGCTGTTTGCAGGTATCAGTGAGACAGACTTTGACTGGCAGGAATACCTTCAGTTCTCAAGCTCCCATGCTGCTCCCGTGGCCCTATTTGCCTCCCACATTGCTGTGAGTATTTTCTGTCTGAAAACCTATCCGTTTACCTGTCTATATGTCTAATCAGCTGTTTTTCTGATCACCTGTCTGCCTGGATACCAGTTTTTGTAATTATCTTGCTGTTGCATCACCTCTGTGTTTAATTACTCTTTTCTGATTACCTTTGCCTTACTTCAAAGACCTCCTCAATCCACCCGGCATGTCTTTGCGTGAGGAAGCAGAGTCAGGGGACTTTGGGTTGGGCTATCCAATATTTGGTGCAAAGGTGGTCAAAGGCTCCTTGGTGGTAAGGGCCCGGGAGTGGATGAGGTTGTCCCGGAGTTCCTTAAGGATCTAGATGTTATGGGGCTTTGCTGGTTGACATGACTCTACAACAGGGATTCCCAAAGTGTGGTGCGTGCACCCCCGGGGGTGCGCGAGTTGCCGCTAGGGGGTGCGAGAGGTGAAACGTGTAATGGCTGCGGAGCTCAGAGAAGTCTGTCATATCAAAGTCAAAGTCAGTTTAATTGTCACTTCTGCCACATGTACAGGACATACAGAGGAATGAAATTACGTTACTCTCAAACTCTCGCTAGATAGAAAATAAACATTTAGTATAAAAACAGTAACCAAGTTCAGAGAGACTGTGGGGGAAAAGAGAGGAGAGTTGGGAGAGCCGGGAGGGAGTTTAGCTTCCTAACTGCCTGATGGATAAAGCTGTCCTTCAGTCTGTTGGTCCTGGCCTTGAGACTCCGCAGTCTCCTCCCTGATGGCAGCAGCTCGAAGAGGCTTTGCATTGGGTGAGTGGGATCAGCCGCAATGCGAAAGGCCTTTTTTGTGAGGCGGGTGCTGTAAATGTCTGATAGGAAGGGGAGAGAGACCCCAATGACCTTCTCTGCTGCTCTCACTATACGTTGGAGGGTTTTAATGCATGAAACGTTGCAGGCTCCGAACCACACAGTGATGCCGCACGACAGGATGCTCTCGATGGTGCCTCTGTAGAAAGTGTACATGATGGGGGCTGGTGCTCTTGCTCTTCTTAGTTTGCGGAGGAAGAAGAGACGCTGCTGTGATTTCCTCACCAATGCTATGGTGTTGTTTGTCCAGGAGAGATCCTCTGTAATGTGCACACCCAGGAACTTGGTGCTGCTCACTCTCTCCACAGACACACCGTTGATGGTCAGAGGAGCATGCTGAGTGTGTGCTCTCCTGAAGTCCACAACAATCTCCTTGGTCTTCTCCACATTTAGAGAGGTTGTTGTCAGCACACCATGTGGTAAGGCGGCTCACCTCGTTCCTGTAGTCGGTCTCATCCCCATTGTTTATGAGACCCACTACTGTTGTGTCATCCGCAAACTTGATGAAGAGGTTAGAGCTGTGTAAGTGTGTACAGTCATGGGTCAGCAGAGTGAAGAGGAGGGGGCTCAGCACACATCCCTGCGGGGCCCCCGTGTTTAAAATGATGGTGCTGGATGTGTTTCTACCGACCCGTACTGCTTGTGGTCTTCCAGTGAGGAAGTCCAACAGCCAGTTACACAGTGAGGTGTTGAGACCCAGCTGGACCAGTTTTTGAGTAAGCTGTTGGGGGATGATGGTGCTGAACTAAAGTCTATGAACAGCATCCAGACATATGAGTCTTCTTTGTCCAGATGTGTGAGTGCTGAGTGGAGTGCAGCGGAGATGGCATCATCGGTCGAGCGTTTGGGCCGGTATGCAAACTGGAAGGGGTCCAGGCAGGGGGGCAGAACAGACTTGATGTTGCATGTCCAACCGTTCGAAGCACTTCATAAGGATGGGAGTAAGTGCAACAGGACGGTAGTCATTAAAGCAGGAGGGAGATGATGTTTTTGGGACCGGAATAATTGATGTGGCTTTAAAGCACGTGGGGACGACAGCCTGGATAAGTGACGTGTTGAAGATGTCTGTGAAGACATCAGTTGGTTCCACTGCACAGTCTCTCAGTGCCCGGCCAGGAATATTATCATGACCCGGAGCTTTACGTGCATTGATCCTGCTAAGGGATCTCCTTACGTTGTCCAGGGACAGAGTCATCACCTGGTCACCAGGAGGAGGTGGAATCTTCTGTGCTGTGGTACCGTTTTGCACTTCAAAGCGAGCTAAAAAGGTGTTCAGCTCGTTCAGCAGGGAGATCGTGCTATCACAGGTCTGTGGAGGGGGCTTGTAATCTTGTAATATGTCACCATTAGTGTAGCCAGAAACTCATTTGTGGGTGGGCCTAAGAAAAAGTAAGTGGGCCCAATAAATGTAATTGAAAACAAGTATATTTAGCTTGTGTGTGTGTGTGTGTGTGTGTGTGCTCCACATGTGCTCTAGCTTCATAATAACAATGCGCCGAGCTTCAGCGCTCTGGCCTGCACACGCCGATATGTTCTGTATTTGATCATTTTTAACGGTGTTGGAGGAATCTGAAGGTGGCGAGTCATTCTGGCAGATTGTAATTAACACCTGTCTCATGCAGGTGTTCTGACGTTGTAAACCTCACACACAGAACATTGTGGATGTAACTAAATAAATCAAGAAATGATTCCCATTCAGGCTATTAACAGCGCGCTGAAGATCTGAAGTTCAGAGTGCGTCTGTCAGAGGTCAGACGCGTTCCAGCAGAACCACGGCTTTAAATAGCGCGAGACGCGGTGACTTGAGCGGCTCATGGAGCTGTGCCGCGCGAGCACACACACACACACACACACACACACACACACACACACACACACACAGATTCAATAAGCGCGCACGCTGCGTAAACTCCGGCGCTGCGCCGTCAGACTGAAGGCAGAAATGAGCGCTGCCTCCTCTGTGATAAAAACTTTTAAGAGGTTTTATAACATTTTTCATTCCATGTCAAATGAAGATATTAGCTTCTATTTTGGGATGACGTATTAAAGTCGGGTCCGCTCCAGCCAGTGACTCCTCATGAACCTGACTACAACTCCTTACTGCAGCATTTGTTATTCCAGTCTGCGTGGCAGCGGATCGCAGATTCAGCCATACCATAAAACAGCAATAAGTCGGTCTGAGGCTAAAGTGAACATCATGGCTATAGCTTTTCCATATTTTCCCCCTATAGACATTTGATTACACACAAGTAGGTGATCAGCTCAGGTTTACGCAGAGCAGAAGGAAGGAGAGCACTCTGGCCGCAGGTTAAACGTTCCTACTTTAAGAAAACTGATAAATTGCATTGTTTATGTGCTACCTGGGAACTCTAAATATTTATTTAAAATGAAAGTGATGGGGAAAAGGTCGATCCTATGTTTTAAACCCTGTCTGTTTAGCTTGACGTCTGACGTATATATACATATATATATATATATATACATATATATATATATATATATATATATATATATATATATATATATATATATATATATATATATATATATATATAGCCATGCCCTGATGTGGGGGCTGGGGGGTGCGTCGACATGGTCGGGACATAGAAGGGGGTGCGCGGCTAAATAAGTTTGGGAACCACTGCTCTACAACATCGCATAGACATCGGGGGCAGTTCCACTGGATTGGCAGGCTGGGGTTGTGGTCTCCCTATTTAAGAAGGAGGACAGCAGAGTGTGTTCCTACTACAGGGAGATCACACTCCTGAGCCTCCCTGGTAAAATATATTCATGGGTTCTGCAGCGGAGGGTTCATCAGATAGTTAAACCATGGATTCAGGAGGAACAATGATGTTTTCATCCTGATTGTGGAACCCTGAACCAGCTCTATACCTGTAGGGGGATCCTGGAGGGTGCGTGGGAGTTTGCCCAGCCAACCTACATGTGTTTTGTGGATTTGGAGAAGGCGTTTGACCGCGTCCTTCAGGGGGCACTGTGGGGGATACTCCGGGGGTATGAGGTACCAGGCCCTCTGATACGGGCTGTTAGGTCCCTGTATGACCAGTGTCGGAGCTTGGTCCGCATTGCCGGCAGTAAGTCGGGCTCGTTCCCAGTGAGAGTTGGACTCGGCCAAGGCTGCCCTTTGTCACCGATTCTGTTCATAACCTTTATGGACAGGATTTCTAGGCACAGCCAAGGTGTGGAGGGCATCCGTTTTGGTGGCCTGAGGATCAGGTCTCTGCTTTTTGCAGATGATGTGGTCCTGTTGGCTTCATCAGAACGTGATCTTCAGCTTTCGCTGGAGCGGTTCGCAGCCGAGTGTGAAGCAGCTGGGATGAGAATCAGCTCCTCTAAATCTGAGGGTTAGGTTTAGGGTTAGGGTTAGACCCTCAACTATGGTCATGAGCTTTGGGCAGTGACCAAAATAACAAGATTGTGGATACAAGCGACCAAAGTGAGGAGCTGGCCCAAGAAGCTGGGGAGAGGGAAGTCTGGGCCTGTTGGCTTATGCTGCTGTGCTCGCGACCCGACTCCTGATAAGCGGCTGAAAAAGGGTGAATGGATGGACCACAACAATTTCTCAACTTTCTCTCTGCACCAACCTTGACTATCTGCTCTGTCTTCTCCATCCCCAGTGAGTCGTGGAGGATGGCTGCTTGTACTGAGCCAGGATTCTCTGGAGGTTTCTTCCTGTTAAAAGGGACTTTTCCTCTCCACTGTCGCTGCATGCTTGCTTAGTATGAGGATTGCTGTAAAGACTCTGACACTAGTCAGTGACTCGATGCAACCTGCTGAGTTCCTTATATAGGAAACATTGAACTGATTGGCTTAATGACCTGACCTGGACTGGAATGTTTACTGTGCGAAGGTCATTGAGACGACTCTTTGGGATTTGGAGCTTTATAAATAAACTGAATTGAATGGAATGGAATCAGTCCAGGGCCGTATCTGTCTCATCATCTGTCCTTCTGCCTGGTGACTTTTCTGATTATCTGCCTGTCCCATCACCTCTCTGTCTTCCTGATTACCTTTCTATCTATTTGATCACCTGTCTGTCTACTTACCTGTCTCTGTGTCTCACCATCTTTGTCAGGGATGTGAATTCCAGGTGGGCATGAAGCTGGAGGCAGTAGACAAGAAGAACCCTGGACTTGTATGTGTTGCTTCTGTTGCTGATGTCATCAACAATCGATTTCTGGTTCACTTTGACAACTGGGATGACACGTATGATTACTGGTGAGAATGACAGGTGATCCGCGGGTGAAAGGAAAGCCAGATGACACGTAAACAGCTGCAGAACATCTGGCAGGTGTTCTAACAGCTTCACTTTGTCCATGTTGTGTTCTGTTACAGAGCAAATCCAAAATCTTTTCTAGTCCAATTTTCCCTTTAAATCAATCAAAGCTCAACTTCCAGAATAACAGAGATTAAAACATAGTTTGGTTGAAGATTTTGCAAATGTCATACATCCTAAACAAAAAACCAATACATGTGTTAGTTGTTACCAAGCTTTACTCTGGACTGTGTTGAAGCAGCTTGCGGCACATCTAGTAAGATGGTGAAATGGTGGATTTAAGCTATATTTTCAGACCTGTAGACCCTTCTGGTTTTTTATTTTTACAGCAGTGCGTCCTCATCTGTGAGGTGCACAGACCAATCTGTCTTCAATATACGGAATTAGCCACAGGGTGGCTCCAGAAACATCTGTCCGATAAGTGGAAGTTGATGAAAAATGAGCTACAGCAGGGCAGCACAAGCATAGGAGATGGAGCGGGTTGTCCAGTAAGCTGAGGGTTGAACGATCAATTTTGGCTCCTGGCAGAAAATGCTGCTGTTGTGTCCTTGGGCAAGACATTTAACCCCCTTTGCCTGCTAGTGGAGGCTGAAGGGACCAGTGGTGGCAGCACTCATAGTGTCCCCGGGCAATGTGCTGATGAAGGTTCTCAGTAATCCAGGTCATGGTAATCCAAAAGGGTATGAATGAAAGCTACTCAACTTCTTCATCCAGGGAGCTTTGCCAGTTCTGACTGGAATATGGTAAATGGCCTGTATTTGTATATGTAGGTATGCCGGAGGGTCAAGCTTAGAAACTGTAGCTGTCTATTGTTTAATCAGCTGAAACTACTAAAGAGTGCACCTCCTCCCTACCTCCTGTAACGTAGACAAGGCCATGTATTTGTCCACCGTCTGTTTCATCAGTGTGTCAAAGGTTAACTTTCTGGCCAAGACACAGGTTGTGTTGGCCAGACACCAGGAGGAGGCGATAATGAAACATCTCCTGATTTATCCACGTTCTTATGAACACCAAGGTGCCCTCACAAGACATCTCTACAGGAGACAAGACTTTTATCTAACTCCCTTTTAAGTAAAAATATCTTATTCTGGTTCATAAAATGATTTATTTTCTTTACAGGTTGATAACAATTGCATTAAACAATGATTGTTTTATCTAAAGCACGTTCATAATGCCTTGACTGCATCACAGTAATGAATGAATCAACATAATTCTTTATTCTGTAAATAATGCTTTATTTCACATCTTGAATACAACAAATGAGTCTACTTGTTGAGTTTAATAATGATTTATTATCAGTATATTCACATATTAATATTACTGTATTATTAAGTACTGTTTAACATTTTTACTTCTTATTTAATGAAATGGGCCTGCTCCAAGTGTCTGAGGACTCTTGGTAACACCCATTTACACGTGTTAGATTCTGATGTGTCTAAATCTATAAACAACTATTATTAAAAGACACTTCCTCTAAAAGTTAGTTCCAGTTTAACTGGGTTATGAACCATCCTTTTCAACGTCAGACTTTCTTTGCAACACTGCAAAACTCCATCAGAGAAACAACTCGTCACACGTGAAAGGTTTCGCCAGCAGAGCCGGAGGTTATCTCTGACCAGCTGCTGCAGATTCAGACGAATACGGCCTTTGACATCTTGAGGTCAAACTACTTGTATGCCAAGAAGACTTTGTGGCCAGCAGGATCTCTGAGAAGCCTCATCACACGTGTACTGTACTCCACACCTGGCGTCGGATGGTTTTAGTAATTTGATGATTTGTTTAACCTCGGTAACCATTCAGCCAGACTTATTTTACAACCCAGACATCACAATTTTCAGGGTTTTAAACATAACATCTAAGCTCATATTTCATCCTTGCTCATTCAGTGTCTCAGTTAATATCACCTTAACTCATCCTTTATAATCATTTGTTCTGCATCATCTTAGTAGTAGAAATTAGGGTTGTCACGGTATGAAAATGTAACCTCACGGTTATTGTGACCGAAATTATCACGGTTTTCGGTATTATCGCGGTATTTTTTAAACGGTGTTGCACATGTTCAGAAAGCATTGATAGTCCTGTTCTACACAAACTGAAATAGTTCTGAAAAGGTTTAACAGTGTTTATTAAACCTAAAATAACACAAAGCCTTAGCAAAAGTGCAACTTTTCACAAGTAAAGGAACAAATAGCTTCTTTTTCTGGAACATGTTACAGTAGTCAGTGCAGGTTTAAATTATACAAATCCAAACATTCAAAACATAAACAATATGTAAACAAATCAAAGAAACACCACTTGTTTTCTCATATACTTGTTTTCTTCATTATCAAAATGAAAATCTAAAACTCCAGTCCACACTTGACTTGAGCACTGTACAAGTCAACCTTAAAAAACATGTATTTAAAATAAATAGCCACTTTAAACAAATGACTAAAATAACTACTACACTATGTAATCAAATCCAAATGTTCAAGTATAAATGGCATTGAATAAGTAAACAAATCCATGACAAGGAACTAATTGTATATTTCTCTTCATCATCAACAAATAAGATGCTTCATCCAGCAACAGGGTGTCCGTGACACGGTTTAAATGCTGGCAGAGGACGCTGCGGCTGCAGTCTATAGTGACTCGTTGCATTCTCCCTCAACCAAAAGTCCTCACGTCATGCATTTAAGCTAAAATGCTAATGTTAGCTTACCTTGCACTGGCTGTAGAGACGTGGGTGATGGTCACGCAGATGTGCCATTAGATTCGAAGTGTTGCTGCCTTTTGCAGACACTTGTTTCCTGCACGTTCTGCAAACGGGATAGCCGTCTTCTATTAACTGTCCCTCAGCATTTTTCAGAAATCCAAAATATGCCCATACTTCCGATTTAGTCTTCTTTGAGGGCTGATGGATGTCCTGGGCGCTGCCGTCTCCTCCTTCGGCCATTATTTCAGCTTCAAAGTTTTGGTGCCGTTGCAAACTAAAAAGTGCGTGTGCGCGCCGCGGGAACTTCAGCTGAAGCGACGGTGGCTGGTAAGGGTCACCGCGCCGAAACCGCGGCCACGGTAAACCCACCGAGATAATTTAGTTTTTTAAAAACTGGACGGTTATTTTTATTGTCAACTTTTTTACCGGGGTTTACCGCTATACCGGTTGCCGTGACAACCCTAGTAGAAATATAGTACTAAACTCATTATAAACTATATTTCTGTTCCTGTGTCAAATCATTATAAAGTGTTGTTTCCCTGGATTAACCAAAGTGCCTAGTTTCATTATCAATCAAATATTAAAGGTTCAGTAATATTGTTAATCCATATTTTTATGGGATATAAATTTTTTTAAATACCTTTTATATTCTATTGACAATTTATTAAAAGTAACGGCCTACAGAACGTCACACTCCTGAGGAGCCAATCTAGTTGTTGGACTCTGCTGGGTGTGCCCCAGAGCAGCTGTGGCTACATTGTAGCGCATCACCATCAGCGTGTGCATGTGTGTGTGTGAGCCATCATTCTAAGTGTCACACATGTATTGGACTTTGTCCCCGAAGGACTTGTCTATTTAGGAGTGTTTCATAATGTGTTTAACATTAGCTGGAAATAGTCTCGTAACATGTAACATGTCAGCATGAGTTATTACTGTTAGTACTGACACTATTACTGTCTAAAGTAGTAGTTTGTTGTAGTTTTGATGTTGACCAGCAGGTGGAGATATTGCTGCTTCTGTGGTGCGCTGATGGTTGTGTATGTGCTAACCTGTATCGATCTCTGAACAGGTGTGACAGCAGCAGTCCATTCATCCATCCAGTGGGCTGGTGTGAAGAGCAGGGACGGCCTCTGACAGCTCCCCAGGGTGTGTAGTACTCAGTACATCATATACACACAGTACCAGTTACTACTGTTTTAACACACACACACACACACACACACACACACACACACACACACGCACATACACACACACACACACACACACACACACACACGCACACGCGCACACACGCACACACACACACGCACACACACACACGCACACACACACGCACATACACACACACACACACACACACACGCGCACACACACACACACACACACACGCACACACACACACACGCGCGCACACACACACACACACACACACGCACACACACACACGCGCACACACACACACACACACACACGCACACACACACACACACGCACACACACACACACACTGGTGTTTGTGAAGAGCAGTACTTTAAGGCATGATGACTCTGTGTACTCACTTTAATAATGAAGTAATTCGTCCACTGATGCCTTTTCTTAAATAGTTCTTCTGTAGCTTTGGGTGGTTTTATCATTGCTTAAGTACATATTTTTATACTTTATATTAAACAATATTTTGGAAGACAGCCTTGTAGGTTAGCCTACACACACACACACACACACGCACACACACACGCACACACACACACACACACACACACACACACACACACACACACGCACGCACGCACGCACACACACACTTCCTTGTTTTGTCAAATAGTTTCACACCTGATTTTGATCAGCAGGTGGTTCAAAGGCTCCTTCACCACTTCCAGACCTGCTGAACTGGTGATTAAATTATTCAGGTGCAATAATGGACTTCCCCACTCTCTCCATAGGGTCACCAGCTTTATTTATAAAGCACTTTATATGGACCAAAGAGCTGAACACCACATCAAAGTAAAATCAGATAAACACTAAAGTATTTACATTCAAGTGGAGTGTATATTATGTCATAGTTTTTAAGTTATGAATGACAAAAACTGTCGATCCACAAAATAAAAACAGAAATAAATAAATAATAAATGAATACAGAAGACGTGGAAAAAAATAACTTAAATTGCAGGACAGCAAAGGTTCAGACATCTCTTTAAAGAGAGCTGGAAACACATTTTAAGGACACAAAAGTAGGAAGGGAACTTATGGCTCAGTAGCAGAGGGGCTGCTGTCCTGCTTCAAGTCCACCCTTGTTCATGTGTGTTGGTGCAGGTACCCCCCAAGAAAATGCAGGATAGGAGTTATGATGCAGGTGCTCTTCTAGAATTATGCTGTGTTAAGGCCTGAGTCCTGAAGCCATGACCAGTGGTACCGTTTAGGCCTTTTCCAACAGCACGAGTCCATATTTGCTCCCACCTTTTCAAAACCTGCTTCGATGTGCTGAAATGTGACATCACCTGACAGTCGGTCGCGATTGGCAAAGGGGTGGAGTCACTGGTTGTTCCAGAGCTTTCTGGCTGCCGTCCCGTTGCCTGCAACGATTTCCTGGTTCAGAGTCCGACAAACAGCCAGAGACTGAGCGGGACCACTGCTGTGCTGAGTTGTGTTTCCATGTGGCATCTACAGGGTGGGCCATTTCTATGGATACACCTTAATAAAATGGGAATGGTTGGTGATTTTAATGTCCTGTTTGTGGCACATTAGTATGTATAGTAAACCATTCTTTTAATGATTTTTAAATGTCCTAATGGACTTGGGCCTTCTTATCTCTCAGAACTATGTCTTAAGTACGAGCCTTCGCGGTCCCTGCGCTCCTCTGGCAGCCATTTCCTGTCGTCGTCGTCTTCCTCCGCTAATCCAGGTCCGGGTCGCGGGGGCAGCATCCCAACTAGGGACCTCCAGACCATCCTCTCCCCGGCCACCTCCACTACCTCCTTTGGCAGGACCCCAAGGCGTTCCCAGACCACATTGGAGATGTAACCTCTCCAATGTGTCCTGGGTCGACCCGGGGGCCTCCTGCCGGCAGGACATGCCCGAAACACCTCCCCAGGGAGGCGTCCAGGAGGCATCCTGACCAGATGCCCAAACCACCTCAACTGGCTCCTTTCGATACGGATGAGCAGCCGTTCTACTCCGAGTCCCTCCCGAATGTCCGAGCTCCTCACCCTATCTCTAAGGCTGAGCCCAGCCACCTTGGGACGTAGATCGACCGGTAAATCGAGAGCCCGGCTTTCTGGCTCAGCTCCCTCTTCACCACGACAGATCGGTTCAGCGTCCGCATCACTGCAGACGCCAAACCAATCCGCCTGTCGATCTCCCGATCCCTCCTACTCTCACTCGTGAACAAGACCCCGAGATACTTAAACTCCTCCACTTGAGGTAGGACCTCTCCCCCGACCCGGAGTTTGCAAGCCACCCTTTTCCGGTCGAGAACCATGGTCTCAGATTTGGAGGTGCTGATCCTCATCCCAGCCGCTTCACACTCGGCCGTGAACCTACCCAGCAAGAGCTGAAGGTCAGAGCTGGATGAAGCTAGGAGGACCACATCATCCGCAACAAGCAGAGACGAGATTCTCCTGCCACCAAACTCGACACACTCCACACCACGGCTGCGTCTAGAAATTCTGTCCATAAAAGTGATGAACAGAACCGGTGACAAAGGGCAGCCCTGGCGGAGTCCAACCCTCACTGGGAACAGGTCCAACTTACTACCGGCTATGCGGACCAAACTCATGCTCCTCTGGTAAAGGGACTGAATGGCCCTTAACAAAAGCCCACCCACCCCATACTCCTGGAGCGTCCCCCACAGGGTGCCCCTGTGGACACGTTCATAAGCCTTCTCCAAATCCACAAAACACATGTGGATTGGTTGGGCAAACTCCCATGCCCCCTCCATCACCCTTGCAAGGGTATAGAGCTGGTCCACAGTTCCACGGCCAGGACGAAAACCACATTGCTCCTCCTCAATCTGAGATTGAATATCGATCGGACCCTCCTCTCCAGTACCTTGGAGTAGACCTTTCCAGGGAGGCTGAGGAGTGTGATCCCCCTATAGTTGGAGCACACCCTCAGGTCACCCTTCTTAAAGATGGGGACCACCACCCCGGTCTGCCACTCCACAGGAACTGCCCCCGATGACCACGCAATGTTGCAGAGATGTGTCAACCATGACAGCCCTACAACATCCGTAGCCTTGAGATACCCAGGACGAACCTCATCTGCCCCCGGGGCTCCGCCGCTGTGTAGTTGTTTGACTACCTCAGCAACTTCTGCCCCCGAGATCGGACAGTCCATCCCCAGGTCTCCCGGCTCTGGTTCCTCCTTGTCATACCAAAAGTCAGGACACACTCCCAAGGAGAGGCATTCTTCCAGTTTTATGGCCCTCACCTCTGGAACAGTCTGCCAGAAGACCTCAGGGCTGTAGAGAGCGTTCATGTTTTTAAAGAGCAAGTAACGTCTAAATTAACTTTTTTTTGCTGATGAACTGTATAAATGAGTGTCTAATAGTGTTTTAAATGTGTGTATTCATTATTTTAGCATTTTGGTGCATTTTCTTAAAAAATTAAAAATTCTGCCTAAATACCACAGTATAGCTCCACCTTCAGCTTAAAACATAGAATTTGACTCATTTTGAATAAATTTTAGCCAATGGCTAAAGAGTAAGATACTACGTAATCCAGTAGAGTACTACGTAGCAGCTCTGTGTCAACGTTATAAAAGGATCGGGAGTCTCGGCCACGCCTTGTGGCGAGTTGGGAGTTGGATTTGCATGAGAGTGTAGGAGGCTAGCCGTAGTTCAGCATTAGCATATAGCATTAGCATATCCTAGTCTTTAGCATAGCTTTTAGTGTTATACATACTTATTTAGTGTTAGCTTGGCTGTTGGATATTGTAGTTTAGTTACTGTTTGGCTGTTAGTGTAATTAGGAAAGTAGTTCGGGTTTAGTGCTCCATATCGTGTTAGCATGGTGAGATGGTGTAGTGTAGTATGGTTGCGGAGCTCTGTCGGGTTGCACTCCTTTCCGCTGGACTTAGAAATTAGGCGCCAGTGGTTGCGTGTCTGGAAAAGATTCAGCTCCCGCCTGGTGCTGTAGTTTGCAACCAGCATTTTACCCGCGATTCTGCACGTCTCCGTTCCAAGAGGGAGGCTGTGCCCACCGTGGCTCTTCCGCGATTTAGATGCAGCCCACCGACTCTGCTCCCCCACCATGACGGGCTACAGTCTGAGGTGAGTAAGCTAAATAAAAGTTTTAACATCTTCTAAAGACAATTCCCTTCCTAAATGCAAAGTTTGAGAGACGTGGTTCACTCCATTTAGCTAATATCAGCCTGCACTGCCTTCGGGCTGATTTGTCAAGTTCACAAAATGTGGAACGGGATGTAAGGTTAGAATCAGCGGCGAATCGGAACATATCTCGAAGCCCTGGCCGACAAAACGGTCCACATGACTGTCAGGCTCAGAGAAAATTCGGGTTGTTTTTGTGTCAGTCGGTAATTCAGCAACAGTGACTCTAAACTGACGCAGCACTAGTTGACAGACAGCATTACAGCGTGAAATCTAGCACAGCGTGACCCGGTTCCGTGAGGAATTCTGTTCAGGAGGTCGCATTTCAGGGTCTCCACATCATATGTGACTGACTTTTACTTTATAATAACATCACACACTAGGAATGTTATAAAGCGCCTATATGGGACAGTGTCTTTTGTATTTTATCTGACTTTATAAACATCAATGTGCTTCTATTTTTTTTCAGGCTAAATCTACCCAAGACACTGGCTGTCAGACTGATTTAGTAGTCTGCAAGAATGCACTTGTCCAGGCTGACGTGAAGCTTTACCCGTAGCAAAGGTGAATTATTTTTAATAATCTTCTATGTAAACATTTTATTACCTTCTAGTTTTAATTTGTTTTACAGATTGTTACAAGTGATTTTATGCTCTTTTAAACATTTATAAATGTGCTGCTTCTTTGTTTTTATAGAGCTCACAGCCTCAGTGTCTTGTGACACAGGGACCATGACAGAAATTCATCTTCCAGAAGGTCCCAGAGCATCCACACCTCCTGAAAAGACCAAGGTGTGAGGTGTCTGCTGTTGATTCCAGCTTCCACCTCAGTGACAGTGCAAGCTCAGTGAACTGTTCAAGGTAAAAAAAAAATTAAAACATTTCTGAATTTTTAAGATATTAACAATTAAATAAGTATGTGATTACATCATGAAGGAGGCTACTGATTCTGGCCCTGTGACACTTGGTGGTGACGTGTGAGCTGATTCACCTGGTAAATAACTTTTAAATTAAATATTTTGTTTTTGCTATCAAAAGTAAATTAACTAATAACCTGCATTACTGCAGGACACTCAGCAAAATATGGACTCTACACCATGAGGCAGGCACACGTTAATAACTCTATAAGAGCACATAAGGTGAGCAACACCACATATTATTTTTATTACTGTACACTGTCCTGGATTTGTTTTCTTTATGCATGATTTGTTTTCTTTCTGCATCTCATCATTAGCCTGGCTGATCACCTGATAACTCCTGTCATCTGGTTATGACAGCATGAGGATGTCCTCACACACCTGTAACCTATCAGCTCATCTAGCAGAATAGAGAGAGAAGAGACAACACCACATCTCCTGTTCCTGGAAAGCCTTCAGCCATCCTTTGATGACTGAGAACCTCCATCAGCTCTGTCTCCTGTCTGCCTACAATTATTATAATAAATATTGTGTTTGACAAGTTTTTTGTGCTGCCAAATATCTCATTTTGATTCCAGTTTTGATATTTTAATGGATATTTATAAATTACATTAATTGAATTATCACATTGTCGCATGTTTAACTAGCTCTATTGTGATGAACTAAACTAGCACATCACTGTTAAAAGCTCGTTTTAATTTCAAGCATGTTTAAGTATTTATGGACATGAACAAAAACAGGAAATATATAAATTGAGATTTATTTAATTAATATAACAAATAAGGGGGAAAGAGTCATTGAAAGGCACATTCTTCTGGAAGCTCCTGATCCCGACGACATCACCAGGAGACAGGCTGCAGACACCAGAGGATCACCTGCAACCAAGAGCAGCTAGTATCAGTAAATAAATAATGAAATCAGGGCAGTTTTAATGGGCTGAACACATTACAGAATAATTTTCTCATGGGATATTTTCATAACTTTATGCATCAGACTAGCTTGAGCCCAGATCTCCTGGAGAGCTGCTATCCAGCACGTTTCAGTGGTTTTCCTGCTTTAACAGGTTAGATAAGCTGTTAAGCAGCTCAGCTGTTTGTTGCTGATTAAAACCAGGTGTGTTGATGCAGATAAATCTCTAAAACATGCTGAATACTAGCTTTTTAGGGCCATGGAGACAAACCCTGCAGCTAATCCAATGCTATGGCTAACGGCTACTTACGTTCAGAGATGGGTCTGTTGGGTCGGTTCCAGTAATTTCAGGCAACTCACAAGCTCAAAACAATAAGGCTCATGTCCGCTTGTCTCCTCCAAATAGACTTGGTCCCTTTCTTCTCGAGTGTCTGGGTAAGGAGGGGGAGAAACGTCCTCCACTTCTAATGACTGCTCAGAGTGAAGGGAGCTAGCTTCGTCTAGTTAGCCGTCTCTTCGTCACTGCCACGGCTCCGCCCTCTCGGTCCTCCAGGCAACGCCTACTAATGTTGCAGTTTTCAAAATTGATACGTGGGTGGGGTAAGACTCTGAGGCACACTTGACATGCACTTTAAGGACAGGCTCCAGACTCACCTATTTTAGTATAGCTTTTAGCTGAATTTGATCTTTTTTAGTCTGTTTTACCATCTTTTATATATTTATTTTATACATATATTTTATCAATGTTTTATTACTTACTCTTTTGCTTAAATGACAGATTTTCATTATATTAATTTAAACTTGAAATAATTATTTGTTTTAACTAGTATTAATGACCTGTATTACTATCTTTTTGTATATTTAATTGAATGTATCTACTTGGTTATCTTTTATTGAAAGAATTATTGAAAAAACAAAAGTTGGATTCAAGATGGCCGACTTCTAAAATGCCACAATGGTCACCGCCCATCTTGAAAAGTTTGCCCCCTCACATAAACTAATGTGCCACAAGCAGGATGTTAAGATCACCAACCATTCCCATTTTATTAAGGTGTATCCATAGAAATGGCCCATCCTGTAGATCATCTCACGCTACTTTTGTGGTCTCTCGCAATAATGGGTGAAGAAGTGTTGTGCTGTAACGCACCTTAGGCAGTTCTAGGATTCTTGAAGGCACTATATAAACACAGGGGTCTCCAACACGTCGCTCGTGAGCCAGCGGTAGTTCATGACGCACTTGAAAGTTGCTTGGAAGCAGCCAGCGAGCCATCCTGGCTTGCATGGACGTAATTTTCACTTTAGAAGTGGGGGGGACACGGAGTGGGTGTGTGTGTGTGTGTGTGTGTGTGTGTGTGTGTGTGTGTGTGTGTGTGTGTGTTTGTGTGTGTGTGTGTGTGAGAATCTTTACAGTATGCTCTAATGGGAAACAGGCTTCAACACAAACGGTTGTTTTCTGCTTGGTCCTAGAGCTCAACTAGTGTCAATTTAATATAGCGTAATGTTGTTTTTGGATGGTAAAAAGTGCAGGGGTCAAACCTTGACTTTGGAAAAAGTGGGGGGGACATGTCCCCCCTGTCCCCCCTAAAATTACGTTCATGCTGGCTTGTAATAAAGGAGTGAGGTTTGTTTTTATTTGTTGGCAAGCCATCCCCGTTTTCTGTAATATTTAATCTAAATTTATTTTTGTGGAAGTAAAATAAAAATCTGATTCTTGCACAAATATTTTGGCAAACGTGTTCTACTGGAAATAAACAGATTCATTGCTCAGGTTGCATCACGGATCCCTGTTTATGCCCCCTTTGATCAGTGGCTGCCGCTGCAGGTGGATGAAGACGTGCCTCTAAGCCAGGGTGACGTCGGTCATACAGACCTGGTTTCAGAAAAACATCCTCAGTAAAATAATCTGTTCCTGCACCGACAGCTCCTTCATGCAAATTAAATGCTGTTTGTTTATCACCACATGATGAACTCGCATCTCCAAACTTTGGACATTTAGTTTCAACATTTCACTCAACTGTGAATGCTCTCTCTCTCTCTCTCTCTCTCTCTCTCTCCCCTCTCTCTCTTTCTCTCTCTCTCTCTCTCTCTCTCTCTCTCTCTCTCTCTCTCTCTCTCTCTCTCTCTCTCCTCTCTCTCTCTCTCTCTCTCTCTCTCTCTCTCTCTCTCTCTCTCTCTCTCTCTCTCTCTCTCTCTCTCTCTCTCTCTCTCTCTCTCTCTCTCTCTCTCTCTCTCTCTCTCTCTCTCTCTCTCTCTCTCTCTCTCTCTCTCTCTCTCTCTCTCTCTCTCTCTCTCTCTCTCTCTCTCTCAGGAAAAAACATTCCTGTTTTTACAGTTTTCACTTCAGTTCAAACTGACACTTGTAGAATTTTGTTTTTTCATCACATTTAGCTTGAATTTAATGAAAAATACCTTCAGTTTTATTCATTTTATGAGAATTGTTGTTTTGCTTTGTTTGGAAAAACAATCCCAACATAACAATTACTTGAAAGGTTTTGTATTAAATGCCCTTTAAAGAACATTGCTGCTTAGGCTCTGGGCAGGGCACAGGCTCAGGGTTAGCTGCTGCTGTGTGCTCAAAAGGCCACACATGGAAAATATCAATGTGAATAAATGGTATGGCGGTAGCTCTCCGATACTTTAATAATGTTAAAGTGGCTCACGGTCCAAAAGAGGTTGGAGACTCCTGATGTACGTAGTACTCAGTACTTGGTTTTCTAGGTCATCCCAACCCTGAGAACTTTCTGTGGGAGGAATATCTGCATGAAACTGGTTCTACTGCCGCTCCTTCTTCAGCTTTCGCGTTGGTAAGAAGAGGAATGATGTCCAAGCAGTAAATCCACCATTCGTAAAGCTGCCCATCCTGATTACATTTTTGCTTCTATCCAATCAGAGAGCTCCGCATGGTTTTCAGGTAAACTACAGACTGGAGGCAGTTGACAGGAGAAACCCTGTGTTGATCCGTGTTGCCACAGTAACAGACACTGAGGACTACAGGGTGAAGGTACTATTTACTCTTGTTTTCCCATCTGTGTATGTGTGATTCAATGAGGTAGGTGATATGATACCAGATGTTCACCTGCAGGTTCACTATGACGGCTGGTCGATGCTGTTTGATGTGTGGTTGGACAGTGACCACCCTGACTTGCATCCTGTTGGCTGGTGTCAGCGAACAGGGCACCCACTGGAACCACCTCCAGGTCAGATGCAGACGAGATGAAAGCAGACAAGTCAGGGACTGACGAGTCAAAAATCAGAGATGAGACAGACCCAGATAAACTTTAGTAAAAGTTTCTTGGGGTTTTTTTTATAGGTTCCTCCCCCCTCCCATCCCCCTCTCAGGGAGTGTGTCCTACTGCTGGTTGCAGGGGAGTTGGACACATCAAAGGACCCAAATACACCGGACACCACAGGTGCCCCTCCTACTGTTGCAAAATCATGTTTAGGGTTGTCTTTGAACCTGACCGTAAATATGCCCTAGAACAACTCTTTTAACATTTGGAAACTGTTCTTTGAGCCTACAAAAAAACATATAAAACTTTGTTGGGGCTCATATTTATATGTCGATGATAATAACCCAGGAGCCCCAAGAAATGGCCAAACAGCCACATAATAAAGCGCTACAATCAGTGGCGGCTGGTGAGTTATATTTTGGGTGGGGCCCAGTCATGCCATCTGATTTAATAGATGCACTAACCACATATCACCACTAGGGGACACCAAATTTCCATTTTTAGGATATAATCTATGTTTTCTACCTCAACAGTGACATTATAGTCTCTTTCCGGAGTATTTCTCTTATCCGATGGCACCATCTAGTGGCTGAAAAGCGTATCACACAAAAAAAATCTGTCGCTCTGTTTTTTTAAGATGGCGACTTCATGTTTCTTGTTTATAAACGTGCTTCTGTAGCGACAAACAGCTAAAACATGTTGTTTTACAAGTATTATTCTCATGTCATGTTGTGTTTTCATAAATTTATATTTTAAAGACTTTCTTGTCCATGAAAAGTTCATCAGCCATGGTATTCCTTACATGTGAAGCATGTAAGCGGTAGTCTGACGCTATTGGTTAGTTCTGGTCGGCGCTCAGTTTCCTGTTATACATAGCTGTGCGGGGCAGGGGGCGTGCTCAGCAAAAAAAAACTTGAAAAGACGTATTGCTTACATTATATCATCAACATATCAAGCACCATTACTCTACCTGCAAACTCATGGAACTTCACAGCAAATCAAACAACGCTAATTCCATGAAGCCAAAGACATTAATTAGATCTTACCTTTGCTTATTTTTGATCATAATAATCTGTGTTATAGTAAAAAAAAACACAGTTTGTTAATCCAATGTCCCAACGTCACACTGAGCTGGTTCTAAAAACTCCACGAGGTGTAATCAGCTGCTCTACAGCAACCAAGGACGGTGAACTGTGGAGAATATCTGGTTCTGTCCTGACCTGAACGGAGACACTGCCCTCCTGGTCTTCTGCGCATGTCTTCATGCTCGCTATACCCCTGCCTCCAAAGTCTCCTATTCTTTGTATTAGAGGGGGAGATCCAGCGTGCATGCACCATTTAGCGTAGGTCTATGGTAGATATTGCTGCGCCTAAAAGTAACAGGAAATATGTGGCAAGAGAATTTGGTAGTGGTAAAAGTTTATTTTTATATTGAAATCTGCTTTTTATACAACAGACAGGGTAAACAGTCAATCAATATCTAAACGTGTGGAATCAGCTTTTACCAAAGTATTATAATAACAAATAAAAAAAGAAACAAACATAAAATCATGGTAGGTAAAAGTGTAAATAACATTTCTGAACTGCATTTAAATGTAGATTAAACACAGTAATTATAGTCTGTATGATGTATAGATTGTTTAGTTAAGTTTTCGTATATATATATATATATATATATATATATATATATATATATATATATATATATATATATATATATATATATATATATATATGATTTCCCTTCAGCCTTCAGAGAGTACAGACGCTTTTTTCTCAGCTCCCTTATCGGCTTCCCCAAGGCTCTTGTCCTGTCTGCCTACAGAGCACTTCTCTGCATTTCTCCTGAAACCACTACTCTTTTTTGGAAATATGGACTTAATTAACTGGTCATTCAACGTGATTGACAAAATTTTTTCTACGATGAGAACGGAGAAGGGGGCTCCCACCTGTCTCGAGGGGACATTCGCATCGGGATATCCACTCGATTCTTGGGAGGTCTGGCGAATCGTGTGCCTCTCTCAGCTGTCCATCGAGGACGTGGACGATTTGTGGATGTTCGGCCTGATGATCACTGGATTTCTTCTGATTGGAGTGGGAGGATATCTGGTTTTCTGGAAATTTGGGAAGACGGGAGCGATTGGAGTGCGACCCGCACCCACGGAATGTGCCGCTCGTGCGGTGACCTCACAGACTGGGACGTTACTCGAGGTGAACCGTAAGCTGGACAATGTCCTCGCGGCGTTGCCTGTGTTAGTGCGCAAGATGGATTTGATCTCGGAGAGGGTCGCCGGACGATGCGGGGATGTGGAATGTAAAATTGGCTTCACTGGTGGACATGAATGACCGGTTATAGACTCCAAGGCGGAGAGGAAGATTATCTCTGCCTGCCCTAAACAAAGTCATGTTTATCCTTATCTGACGCCATAGCAGCCTCTCAAGGCTGCCTCAACACACCCCCACAAAAGGAGGAATGCCGACAGATGCTGTGTCCCGACCTTCACCCTCTTCCTTCAGGCTGACATGTCTGCAGGAACTTCAGTGTGCTCTCTGGTCCTTTTCTCTCCCTCCCACCTGTTGGTCTGCAGCTGGTCGATGCACCGCAGTGGCAGCTCCCATTGGAGGCTTCAGGATCCCGCACACCCCCACCTCCCCATCGGACTCTGATGTTGTATCTGTGCTGTCTGCGCTTCCATGTTGAAAGTAGTTTTTTTTTTGTATAATAGAGTTACTCCCCGCTGGGGCTAACTCTGCTATGCCTTTTTTTTTACCTACCCCCACTTATCCTCATGTAACACCCTTTTCATCTATCTATTAAGGTAGCGCAACTCATGTTGCGAATGACCGCAGTCACCAATTCTTGTTATGTGTCTTACCCACGTATGTCTGATCTTTGAATTGTGTGTGCTGAAACTGAATTTCATTTCTCTGTATGTTCTGCACATGTGGTAGACAATGACAATAAATGACTTTGACTTTGACTTTGATATATATATATATATATATATATATATATATATATATATATATTATTTTGTGATTCATTTCTTCATCTTCTTCCTGTGAGACTGGTGGGGAGGCACCCTAGCGCCTTCTATGGACGAGCCACCACTGGCTACAATGGAAGAACTGGTTTCCTTTTTTTTTTTTTTTTTTTAACGTGTCCTGTCTGGCTGTGAAGCAAGCAGAATTGATGTCTGAATGATGGTAACAAGCCTTACAGTTTTACTCTCAGGTGGAGCATCAAAGAGTCTGCTTTTAATGTCGCACCTGATATTTAAAACTTTATTGTTATTGTTTTTGAATGCTTTGTAATTTCGACCAGACACGGAGACAGAGGTGAAAGAGAAAGGAAAAGAGAAAAGGTGGGGAGAGAGGGGGTTAGGTGGGGGGGGGATTCAACAAAAATAAACAATAATGAACAAGAGTCTGCTTCTAGACCTGCAAAATGAGACGAGAAAAAAGCAAAACATAACAAAAAAATGGGACACAACACCAATATAACAAAATCAAGCTATCACTGCGTCAACTTGATGAAGAAATATATAATCAATCATTGTTTAACTAAACAGTCACACGATAATATACCACAGTGCATTGAGTGCCCACCATAGTCTTAAGACATGTGTTGAACGTGCCCAAGCCCATACTTATGAGAGCACCATGTGAGCACCTGTGTGTGTACACGCGCTTGTTTATGTAAGGTTTATCTATAGGAGCGTCCAACAGAGAGTGTGAGGGACCACAGATCTGCCCCCCAAAGACGCGTAGGAGACGGGGGGGAGCTCCAAGTCCCAGAGATCCAGGCGCTGCCCCAGAACACAGGAACCCCAAGGAGCCCGCAACCAGAAAGGCCCCCGCCCCCCTCGAGAGGCACAGAGGATCGCCCCGGGGGGCCACAACCAGCAGCCGGCAGAGCCCCGGGAGATATCAGCGGCAAGTCCTCAGGCCTGCCCGCAGCCTCCCACCCCCTAGCCGGCCGAGTCCGGGACCCAGCGACCCGGGACCCAGGGGCGACCACCCCCGCCGGGGACCCAGCAGAGCCCAGGGACCCAGACCCCCCCAGGCCGCCACCGGGATTGATCAGGCAGATGCCAAAAATCTTAAACTCCCTGACCCGGGAGCCACGAACACTCAGGCAGACCAAGGCATCACACCCACACCAGGTGTGACAGGGGGGAGGGGAGACGAAGATCTATATCATCAAAGGAGGTCCCAGGAGAAGGGAGGAGTCAAAGGCCCCACCTGACATATACAGTCATACACAAACACAGTCACACACTCCCTCCCTCATGCTCACACATGCACATACAACCAAAGACTTACAAAAATACACGCCGGACACCCACTCATGCTCCCCATACACACCCTATTCACTCTGGTCCCGGTAATGCTGCACATGGGGTACAACCACCACCGGTTACCAAAAAAAAAAAAAAAAAAAAAAATGGAAGAACTGGTTTCCCCTCCCAGTTGGCCTGGACATGAATATTAAATAAGCTATGTTGTGATTGGCCCAAATCTACTAACTCTGCGTACAGTCATGTACACTATCCAGATTACTCAACAGGCAAGCTATGGATCTACAGTGGGATGTGAAAGTTTGCGCAGCCTTGTTAATCTGAATAAATAGATGAATAAATAAATAACATAAATAAATGAATAAACGTTCTCATCACAGACTCAATATTAGTTGAAAGTGACCTTTCCAAATGGGAAATTAAAAAAGGAAACAACTTCAGTTTTGTACAAAACGAACAACAAAAAAATAAGTAAAGTAAGAAAGAATGAAAGAATAAACAAAACATTTTTTCAAAATGAATGAGAAAAATCAAATCTAATTTAAAAATTTCATTCAAATGACTTCAGATACTTTGAAAATAATGCACACTGGTAAAATAGAGCATGGTGTGTAAATATGTATTTACAGTGGGATGCAAAAGTCTGTTACTTTTCCTGTGTAAATCGTTGGTTATGATAAAACTTCAGTTAAACGTCTCTAGGGGACACAGCGATATCTGAGAAGTGAAGCAACGTTTAACAGGAAGTGTGCAATAACTGTTTAAACAGAATAAGGTAGGGGCAAAAGAGAAATGAACCTATAGTAGATCCTCCTTTAGCAGAAATAGCAGCGTCTAAGCTCTTCCTCTAGCTCCTGATGAGTCTGGATTCTGGCTGAAGGTGCTTTGGACCATTCTTCTATACAGAACATCTCTAGTTCATCCAGGTCTGATGCTTCTGAGCATGGACAGCTCTCTAACTCACACCACAGATGTTCAATAATGTTCAGGTCTGGGGACTGAGATGGCCATTCCAGAACGCTCTACTTGTTCTTCTGCATGAAGGCCTGAGTAGATGTTGAGCAGTGTTTAGGGTTGTTGTCTTGTTGAGAGGTCCAGCCCCGATACAGCTTCAGCTTTGTCACTGATTCCTGGACATTGGTCTCCAGAATCTGCTGATACTGAGTGGAATCCATGCGTCCCTCATCTTTAACAAGATTCCCAGTCCCTGCACTGGCCCCACAGCCCGCAGCACGATGGACCCACCCCCATGTTTTACTGTAGGTAGCAGGTGTTTTCCTTGGAGTGCTGTGTTCTTGTTCCTCCATGAATAACACTCCTGCCCAAATAACTCTGTTTTAGTTTCATCAGTCCACAGCACCTTACTAAGGAAGCTAGCTAGTCCAGATGTGCTTTAGCAGACCTCTGCTGCTGTTGGGGCTGTGGGCAGAGAACAGGCTTCTTCTGCATCACTCTCACATGCAGCACCTCCTTGTGTAAAGTGCACGATGCACAGTGACGTTTGTTGTGAACCTAAATTAGGTCTCTGGTGCTGGCCTGTGGGTGGACTTACCATTCTTCTCTTCTGTTTATCCCAGATGTTTCTTGGTCTGCCACTTGGAGCCATAACTTGAACTGAGCGTGTGGTCTTCTATTTTCCTAAGACCCCTTATGAAGAAAAATATATATGGAAACCGTGTTCCCTTACCTGGGGGTGAGTTAGGGTTAGGGTTAGACAGCAATAAAGACAGACAAAACTGAACAATGGGATTACATATAAAGGAAAACATTGAAGACTAAAACTAGAAAATTAACGTAAGAGAATAAAATGTGGTCAGCCAGGAAATACTAAGGTGAAAACATGGTGTAAGGAGGCAAAAGCTAAGGCATTAAAAACTGGTACAATGAACTACAAAAATCAATTACTGAAAAAATGTCAGTGCTTTGAGTTGGTAAGAAGGCTAACCATGAATTACAATGAACTACAAAATAATAAGGTTGCAGGAATTAGGCAGACCAGAACTAAAGCTGTGAAACTGGTAATAATAGTAACATATAATTGAAACTAAGAGAGACCAGGTAGGAAGGCTAACCAGGACTTACTAAGTGTAAGGTGACTAAGATTAGAGCAGAAAACTAACAGAGTAAAACGAGGCATTGAGTAGATAACAAAGTGGTGAGCCATGAATTACTAAACAAGACTAGATCTAATGCAGTAAAAGCTGGTACAGTGGGGCAAAAAAGTATTTAGTCAGCCACCGATTGTGCAAGTTCTCCCACTTAAAATGATGACAGAGGTCAGTAACTTACATCATAGGTACACTTCAACTGTGAGAGACTGAATGTGAAAAAAAAATCCATGAATTCACATGGCAGGATTTTTAAAGAATTTATTTGTAAATCAGGGTGGAAAATAAGTATTTGGTCACTTCAAACAAGGAAAATCTCTGGCTCTCACAGACCTGTAACGTCTTCTTTAAGAAGCTTTTCTGTCCTCCACTCGTTACCTGTATTAATGGCACCTGTTTGAACACATTATCTGTATAAAAGACACCTGTCCACAGCCTCAAACAGTCAGACTCCAAACTCCACTATGGCCAAGACTAAAGAGCTTTCAAATGACACCAGGAAAAGAATTGTAGACCTGCACCAGACTGGGAAGGGTGAATCTACAATAGGCAAGCAGCTTGGTGTGAAAAAATCAACAGTGGGAGCAATTATCAGAAAATGGAAGACATACAAGACCACTGATAATCTCCCTCGATCTGGGGCTCCACGCAAGATCTCATCCCGTGGGGTCAAAATGATCATGAGAACGGTGAGCAAGAATCCCAGAACCACACGGGGGGACCTGGTGAATGACCTGCAGAGAGCTGGGACCATAGTAACAAAGGTCACCATCAGTAACACACTACAACTGCAGGGAATCAAATCCTGCAGTGCCAGACGTGTTCCGCTGCTGAAGCCAGTGCATGTCCAGGCCCGTCTGAAGTTTGCCAGAGAGCACATGGATGATACAGCAGAGGATTGGGAGAATGTCATGTGGTCAGATGAAACCAAAGTAGAACTTTTTGGTATAAACTCAACTTGTCGTGTTTGGAGGAAGAAGAATACTGAGTTGCATCCCAAGAACACCATACCTACTGTGAAGCATGGGGGTGGGAACATCATGCTTTGGGGCTGTTTTTCTGCTAAGGGGACAGGATGACTGATCCGTGTTAAGGACAGAATGAATGGGGCCATGTATCGTGAGATTCTGAGCCAAAACCTCCTTCCATCAGTGAGAGCTTTGAAGATGAAACGTGGCGGGGTCTTCCAACACGACAATGATCCCAAACACACCGCCCGGGCAACAAAGGAGTGGCTCCGTAAGAAGCATCTGAAAGTCCTGGAGTGGCCTAGCCAGTCTCCAGACCTCAACCCCATAGAAAATCTGTGGAGGGAGTTTAAAGTCCGTGTTGCTCGGCGACAGCCCCAAAACATCACTGCTCTCGAGAAGATCTGCATGGAGGAATGGGCCAAAATACCAGCTACTGTGTGTGCAAACCTGGTAAAGACCTATAGTAATCGTTTGACCTCTGTTATTGCCAACAAAGGTTATGTTACAAAGTATTGAGTTGAATTTTTGTTATTAACCAAATACTTATTTTCCACCCTGATTTACAAATAAATTCTTTAAAAATCCTGCCATGTGAATTCATGGATTTTTTTTCACATTCTGTCTCTCACAGTTGAAGTGTACCTATGATGTAAATTACTGACCTCTGTCATCATTTTAAGTGGGAGAACTTGCACAATCGGTGGCTGACTAAATACTTTTTTGCCTCACTGTACAATGTACTACACACACTGATGACTGAAATTAGTAACTAACAGAAATTCAATACTTTCAATAGGTAGGTAGGTAACCATTACAACATTACTAATTTACTTGGGTCAAAAGTAAGTCAAAGACAGAATGGACGTTCTTTACTTTAGACACCCCATGCTTTATTTATTCGACAACAACAAGGTCAACATGGTTTTAAACTTTAGGACCTCTTTACCAGCTTTTCTCTTCTCTGCCCCCCTAGTGCCTTTGGCTGTCCTTACTCAGATATTAACATACGAAAGGAAGTGGTGCTTCCGGATAGGCTGGGAGGAGAGCTATCTGTTAACCTTGTACCTGCTGCAACCATGCATCACCATAGCAACCAGTCTCACAGGTATTATCTAGCAAAATACCTTTGTTAACATTTACCAGAAATCTCAGCAGCAAAGATTATCCTGACATGCTTTTTATTTACGTTGCACCTGTCTGCGTCTACCTGTCCTGTTTATCTGTTTGCTCGTGGACAAGGAGAGGAATTCAGGTGAAGACCGTGCCTAAAGACGATGTGCTGGTGCTTCCTTTAGGGAAAAGAAGAAGACTGACTGAGAGGTGAGGTCATATGTTAATCTGACTTCTCTGACCAACAGAGCTTCTCCTTGAGTGATGCTGGTGCGTCCCAGCAGATGTTCAGAATAAAAGTCAGTTTGTAGATGAGAGAGTGGGTGGTTGTTGTCAGGAGATCATCACTGGATGTTGTATAACACTGGATTATATAACACACAAACGCACGCACGCACGCACGCACGCACGCACACACACACACACACACACACAGCAGAATCAGCAGAAAACCAGAATTTCTTCTTTCTCGTTTTCTTCTCTTTGGCTCCACCCTCAGGCTGTCCCAGCCTACTAAGTTATGTCATGTGAATCAGGAAGAGGAGGAGCTTCACGCTGCAGGCATAAGCCCAGGTTGGTGTTTCTTTCATTCAATTCAATTCAATTTCAATTTCAATTCAATTTTATTTATATAGCGCCAAATCATGACAAGAGTTGTCTCAAGGCACTTCACATAATAAACATTCCAATTCAGGTCAGGTCATTAAGCCAGTGACTATACAGCAATCCTCATACTAAGCAAGCATAAAGCGACAGTGGAGAGGAAAACTCCCTTTTAACAGGAAAAAACCTCCAGAGAATCCTGGCTCAGTATAAGCAGCCATCCTCCACGACTCACTGGGGATGGAGAAGACAGAGCACACACACACACACACACACACACACACACACACACACACACACACACACACACACACACACACACACACACACACACACACACACACACACCAAGTAGTGTGTCTATGGTTACATTGTGATGTCTTAGTAAATATTCTATTTGGCGAGAGATAAACTTTATTGTATTTATCCTAGTTAATCTATAATTAAACGGGTAAACTAGTAGTAGTTCGTCCAATGTCAAAGAGAGTAAAATGTTATTATCAGGAGAGGGAGAATGTTTAAGTGGTTAGCAGCAGTGTGCTAGCCGATACCCCTGCATGTTGGAGGCAGGGCAAGGGAGAGCCGTCTTTACCGACTGTACACTCCACCTCCCTGTACTCCCCCACTTGTCCAGATTTAGGCTAACATCAGATTTTAACCATAGGCCCTATCAAATAAAAATGTTTTAAGCCTATTCTTAAAAGTAGACAAGGTGTCTGCCTCACGGACTAAAGCTGGGAGCTGGTTCCACAGGAGAGGAGCCTGATAACTAAAAGATCTGCCTCCCATCCTAATTTTAGATATTCTTGGAACCACCAGTAGACCTGCAGTCTGAGAGCGAAGTGCTCGGTTAGGAACGTATGGAACAATCAGATCACTGATGTATGATGGAGCTTGATTATTAAGAGCTTTATATGTGAGAAGAAGGATCTTAAAATCTATTCTGAATTTAACAGGTAGCCAATGTAGGGAAGCTAAGACAGGAGAGATATGATCTCTCTTTTTAATTCTCATCAGAACTCTAGCTGCAGCATTTTGGACAAGCTGAAGACTTTTAACTACATTCTGTGGACTTCCTGAGAGTAATGAATTACAGTAATCCAGTCTTGATGTAATAAATGCATGAACTAGTTTTTCAGCATCACTCCTGGAAAGGATGCTTCTTATCTTAGCACTATTCCGAAGGTGGAAAAAGGAAATCCTATAAACCTGTTTAACCTGGGATTTGAATGACATGTCCTGGTCAAAGATAACACCAAGGTTCCTTACTTTGTTCTCGGAGATTAATGCAATGCCATTCAGGTCAGGTGATTGGCTAAGCAATTTCCTTTTCTGGATTTCTTGTCCAAAGATGAGAACTTCCGTCTTGTCTTGATTTAAAAGCAAAAAGTTTAGAGTCATCCAATTTTTTATGTCCTCAAGACAAGCCTGTAATCCACCCAACCGATTAGGTTCATCAGGGTTAATGGATAAATATAGCTGAGTATCATCAGCATAACAGTGGAAGTTTATCCCATGCTGTCTTATGATTTTACTAAATCGGAGCATATATATAGTAAAAAGAATTGGTCCAAGCACTGAACCCTGTGGTACTCCGCAAGTAACCCTGGAGTATGAAGAAGATTTGTCATGTACATTTACAAAATGAAATCTGTCAGACAGGTAGGATTTAAACCAGCCTAGCGCTGTTCCTTTGATCCCTACAACATGTTCAAGTCTTTCTAAAAGAACATTGTGATCAACTGTGTCAAAGGCAGCACTGAGATCTAACAAGACTAGAACAGACACAAGATTCTTATCTGAGTCCATGAGAATATCATTTGTAACTCTCACTAATGCAGTTTCAGTGCTGTGATACTCTCTAAAACCAGACTGAATTTCCTCAAACAGATCATTCAGACTGCAGTGTACATAAAGAACGAAGAAGAGAATTAGGATAAAAACAACAAAGAGAATAAAACTGTGGATCCAAACAGAAATGATTACGATGTCTGAAGCAAAGATTCAAATGTACTAGGCTAGGAGCAGTCCTTCTAGAGTAACCCCCAAATTCCACTACCTCCGCTCCGCTCCGCTGCGGTCCGCCCCCGCCTTCCGCAGCCGCTCGCTTCCGAACTCAATTTTTACCGGTACCCGCTCTACAACGGCTCCGCTCCGGTGCGGAGACCTGAGGTGGGCAAACAAGCATGCGCGGGATTTTCAAGATCTTGCGATACAGTCCGAGTAATAAACGCGGAAGTTAGATCCAAACACCCGTTGTGTGGGAGAAGCATCGGCATGAACTGTTTAATCTGCCCATCAGTTGTGTTGAGAGATCAGCAGTTTTTGGATCAACAAAGTGTGACTACTTTGATAGTAGAAACTGTATTTATGGCTTACTTTTGTGCATTTAAACTTCAGCTGCCATTGATAGTTGTTAAAAGTTGTTAAACCTGTGCATATGAAACAAAAAACGCCTTTTGTTTATCGATTTATTGTGAAAAACGGAAGTTATGCTTGCTCCTTTTCCTGTTGGGCGATGGTGATTTCTGTCCATTTACTGCGGAGGTGCTCCGGCGTCCGGCGAAAATAGGATCGATTCTATTTTTGCTGGACGCCGGAAAAGAGGGCGGCGCACGGCGCCGCACTGCCGGAGCACGGCCGCAGTAGTGGAATTGCTCTGATTGACTACAACGGGACCGGTTTTGCTCCGGCGTTCGTGTCGGAGCGGAGCGGAGCGGAGGTAGTGGAATTTGGGGGTAAGCCTGTTCCACCATTCTGGACCAGACACTGAAGAGACCCTGTTGTCACGGGCCTAAGACTAGGCCTTGTGGTTCTGGCAGCAATACGCTCATTCAGATCACAACAAAGTCGATGACGTTAAGCAAAGCTTGTGCACCATTCAAGGCCGTATCTACCATTGAGGACACCGAGGTCTGGACGTTAGTATTTTTTTTCTGCAGCGTTTTAATGGTAGAGATGCTACAACAACAGGAGGTAGCCAAACTAAAGGTTTATAATGACCACAAAGAAGAGTGTAGCTTGCCTTGTTTGCCAATAAACATGAGAAGAGGAAGCAGGAGGATGTGTTGATGACCATTAAACATGTAAGGTTTGCTGCCAATATATGAAGTGGCCAGCTAGTCAGCATCATGCTTAGTCACAAATTGTGCAGGGTAAGGACTCATTTCTACTAACAATCCTATTTTACAACAGAAGTTTTAACAACTTCTGGGCTCAGAAGCAGCTGCTCGACTTGCCGGGTCTGCCATTTTCCACGTAGCCAGCCTCGTGCTGAGCAGACTGTTTACCACATGTGGCAACCGGCAATGGTTACCCCTATTGGCTGCTAGATGTAAACACAAACCCGGTGTAGTTCCCATCAAAATAAATATGGTTTTTAAAAATTAAAATATCTTTTAAAGGAAAAAGTGCATCTTCATTCTGCACCCCTCTAAACACCCTTAAAAAAAGCTTTTTAATAAATTGTTCCATATTCAACCTTTAAATCTGCTCTCCAGATACCAGCTAAACTTATTTTCATTTATCATCACATCGTCTGCTAAGGGTAGTCGTTTCTGCCCACAGACAGTGTAGATTGATTTGTTTTTCCTATTCAGTGGGCCTGTTCTTGGCAAGCCGTTGTAACATTTAATCAACAATCGTACTTCACTAATTCCATTTTACAGTGCAATAATAAAAACCTGTCAAAATGTCTGAAATGTCAAATCCCAACCACCCCCTCTCTTTGTTTACTGGGAAACCTGGACGATGTCCCGATTGAAACATCTTTGGTTCACGTGGTTCTGACTGCCATATGCATCGCTAAGAAAACTATCCTCTTGAATTGGAAAAATGGAGAAACTCTCTGCATTAACCAGTATAGAAATCTTTTGTTAGATCATATTACACTTGATTTAGCTTCTGCTTCCACTTCAGATCAATCTCTCTGGGCTCCTTTGATCGGTTCCATCACATAGCGAGGGTGGGGGACCGTTGATGTTGTCCTGCGGGATGATGTGGGTGAGGGGGTGGAGGGTCTGAGTTTGGAGTATCCGGATGTTCCCTGGAGGTGGGTTCACTGGGGGTGTCTGGGACTGGGGGGCTGCTGCCCCCCTCTGGAGGTGCTTGGATTGCCTTGGGGGGTGGACTACTGGCTGTTGTGAGTGGGGGACCTTGGGGGTCTTGGCGGTGGCCATGGGTCGCTGACTGGCATCTGCATTGCCCCTGAGTTGGTCTGGGTGGGGGCCTGGGGGCTCGGCGTGTGGGGGTGGCCAGTCCCGTGTGGGGATCTGGGCGGGGCCTTGGGGGTCGTGTCCTGCCATGTATACTGCCGGGAAGAAGGCAGGAACATGCAGCAGTGCCTGGCCCGGGCTCAGGCGCCGCAGGTAGACCTTGGCTCCTCTGCTGTCCCATCACAGAGGAGGGGGATGTCCAGGAGGGGGAGGACCCAACCTTACCTGGATGTCCTATGTCTTATATATTCTGGAAGTTGTGCAAATACTTTAAAACTGTAATGCATTATTTATTACTTGTTACCCTCATTTTAAAGTAATTCAATACATTACAATATTACTGATTTTAAAATGTAAGGCATTACACTACTGTTGCATTACTTTAAGTTACTTTCACCAAAACAACTTCAGTATGAATCTGGTCATGTGACGCTCAGTGAGCTCATGACATATATGTGGAAGGTGATGTGGTGTCTGAGCTAGGATTGCTGTTAAAAACAGTCAGATATAATAACAGTGCTTTAAAATGATTGTTTATTAAATAAAAACAACAACAATCTGTACTCTCAGCACGCTGCCATCTTAGATTACCTGAGCAGGGAGTGAGGTGGTGGGGGGCTCCAAGCCTATATTTACCTTGGTCCCCAAATGCCTTGATACGGCCCTGGATGTGGGACTGACTTCTGGGGTGATCTGATTCTATCACATGTATGAATATTAAATGCTTATATATTATTGCTTTTCACTGGTAAACAT